AGTGAGGGGTGGGGGTGGGGTGGGGGAACAATGTGAGGTTGATGCAGTGTGCGACGCCTTGCGCCATGCCTTTGCTTTCCGAGAGGAGTGGCGTGGCGCTGCACTGTGTTGGTTGGCAATCGTGACACCGAGACGCCCTCTTGGCCAGCAGTGAGGGAGATGATTGGCAGGGAAGGCTCGCAAAAAACTGGATTGTGGATATGCGAAAGGGAGACGCATGCATCATGCGACGCATTCACACTGCCAACCCTCCCCAGGCCCACCGCCCCTGCAGCCACGCCGAGCGGCAGGCGCGGGGAACGGGAGAAGTGGGGACCATTGCCGGGCGCCGCCGCGCGCCTCACCTTGTGCCTCCTCTTTGGCGGCAGCTGCTGCAGCACCTCGTTCTTCTTGCGCCGCACCATGATGCGCCCCACCAGGTGGTGAAGCTCATCTGTGTTCTTGCTGCCCGCCTGAGGGGTGAGAGGGGTGGGTTCGAGTGATTCATGTGTCGTCCGGTCGCTTGCGAGTGGTACTACTGGGTCCACGTAAGGGAATCCCCATCCATGTGGGGATGTTTTGGATGTTGAGAGGGTCGGGGAGTAGGGTAGTGGGCGATCGGGGCCGGCGGACGGTGGTAGTGGAGGGCGGCGGCAGGGGGTCCGGAAAGAGGAAAGGAGGGAACGCCGCAGCCCCGCCCCAGCGGTCGTGCCTTGCAGCCCCTGCAACGCTCCGACCACGCGCCCCGTCCACGCGAGCCGCCCCACCCAGAATACATGTCCGAAGAAGTGCTGATTTTGCGCCGCGGCCCACCATGTCATCCCATTTGGTGGGCTCGCAGTAGCGCTCCGCGTACTCCCTCTTGGAGATGCGCGCACCAGGCAGCAGCCCCTGCGGTCCGTGTGCGCCAAGCACCGCGCGCAACCAGAGCGGTGAGATTAAGCGCACAGTGCCGCGCATTCAGCCTTCAAGCGTCCATGCGCATTTGCAGATCTGAAAGCCCCTACGCAAGCTCAGTCCACCCGCGGTTTCCTGGGCTCCGGATCTCGGTCGAGCCTGGGGCGCTGCAGGGCGGGTGGCGCAGCATGGGTACGACATCCGCACAGGGCGCCCCGGCCCCACCTGCAGCTGCGGCAGCAGCTCCGCGGGGCGGCTGAGGGTGGGCGTGCCCGTTAGCAAAATGGTGCGGCGCGCGGCGTGCAGAACGGGCAGGGCCGCCTTGGTGCGCTTGGCCTGGGGGAGCGATGGGCGATGCGGGCGGGCAGGGATGCAGAGGCAATGGTGCGATGGCAAAGAGAGTGCCGGTGCGGAGGCGTGCGGCATGGTGCGGCCCCACAACCCCGCCGCGTGTGCTGCTGGCGCCTTGCCGGTAAGGAGATGCGCACACCTGCCCGGCACCGCCACCATGATATCCCCCCTCCTTCCCTCTCCCCCTCGCTCCCTCTGCCCTAAATTTCGAACCCAGATTTTGTATCGACAGCTGCTCGCAACCGCCAACTGTCAGCCCAAAGCCGACCTTTGTGTTCTTGATGAGGTGTGCCTCGTCCAGCACGACCACCTTGAACTTGCGCGCCGCCGTCAGCTCGTCGGCGCACTTTGCGAAGAGGTCGTATGATATGATGAGCGCGTCAAACTGCCGCGCCAGCGAGCGCTTCACGTCTGCGCGCTCGAACAGGGGTGGAGGGGCGCGGCGGCGTGGTGTTTGCGGAGGGCGCATTGGGTGTGGCAGCCGGGCCGCCACGGGCGCGGGCGCAGGCGCTGCCGTGGCGCGGCGCCCTCCTGGACGCAATCGGCTCAAAGCCAACATCACAGCAGGCGGGTCCCTGCCCGACGCCGGTCGCCGGACATTCTTGTTGGCTTTCGGGCCACCTGACCCCAAGTCGACCTTTCGTGCCCAGGAAGGAAAGCGTCAGCAGCCGCGCACCTGCGCCTGTGAGGATGCAGGCCACCCTGTCCTCGGTGACCCTCAGCCAGTCGTACAGCGCGGCCGCCCACGTCAGCCTGGGGCGCGGCAGGTGGTTGCGGCGGTCGCGGCGGTTGTGGGGGTTGTGGTGGTCGCGGGTGGGTGGGTGATGCGCGCTGTTGGAAAGGTGTGGGTCGCAGCGTTGATGGCCGTGGCAGCAGTGGTTGCCGTCGTGGGCAGCACCGGGGTTGGTGCTGGTGGGCGGCAGTGGGGGTTGTGGCGGCGGTGGCCGGTTGTCGTGAATGCTACAGGTTTGCAGGCGGATCAGGGAGAGGCGCCGACGGCTCGGTCACACGCAGGGCCGTGCATGGGTGCAAAT